GTGTGCATTGAATTGGAAGTTGATCTGTCAGCACTATCAGATGTTTTTATTTTATTTGGCTTATAATTGCTTACTCAATGTAGTATTTCATCTCGCCTTTGATATGATTTAAATCAAATGCCTCGTCATTATAATTCGCTTCCGATAGCGAAGAAGAAAGTGACAGAGAGGTTATTGAAAACGAAAAAATTTCGATTGACAAATTAGTCGGTATTCTCGACACAGCAATTATAGGACTTGAAAAGCGGAACTTTGTAACTGAACAAGAAATTATGTCTGTTTATGGAATTAAAGAGAATGTATTATCACATAAAAAACGAAGCAACTTAAACAACTTACATTGAAAGAAATGTTAAATAAAGTAAACAAATAAATATTAAGCTTTTCTTTTTTTGTAAATTTTGATCATAATTGTTCTTTATTTCGTAAATTACGGTTTCATATTTTTAATTTTATAATTTCTGCATGCCATTTTACCAGATTTAAACTGATGATCTATAATCCGGAAAAATCGATAATCCGGAATCGCCGAAGTCCCGATGAGTCCGGATTAACGACTTTTGACTGTAGTTGCCATGACTTATGCCCCAACCTACGTATTAACTAGAAACTTTCTGATGCGAATAATGTAATTGTTTTTTCCGAGATACTGTTTCATCATACTGGATGTTGAAATTAGTGCTTCCTGTCATTAAGGTTGTTTGCAAATGGGCATCTGTTAATAATAATCTGAATTGCAATTTTACATATATTAATTTAAAAAACGTCTTATTGCATTGGTAAGTATTCCCAAATATTCCTGTGCATATGATTTTAATTGAGCATATTTATCTGCCAAAAGATATTTGCAAAATTGAGTGAGATACTTTTCTTTAAATATCATTTTTAGAACATCATTTTACAAATCGGTCATTTCCATTTGAAGGTCTGACAAAAGCTACTGATTTATACAGGGGTGATACAAAATTGAAGAATCTCAAGAAATCTTTCCCATTAATGAGCCATCAAGCAGCTGTATGCTAAGGCAAGTCAGAATATTCAGCTTAGATGACTAATAAAAATTCATGAAACTGGTTATGGTTAAGTCCACGAGAACAAATGAAGTTTACTGTTATTACATTTAGTTCGATTAACACATAGCAGATTGAGGTGTTTCCACAAAGAGCTTCCTGGTGAATAATATAATGAATTACAGAGGTTTTAAACATTTAGTATCTTCATAATCCTTAAAAATTTGTCAGACTAATTCTTTTGCTGTTCCAAATATTTCTTCCACCATCAGTTGTGACACATTTTAATTGATTCCACTGCCAATTGTGCTGTGCTAGTATTTTCTTGACTTTAAAGATATCTTCACCTATAGTTGTTCCATGGAGATCACCTCAAATTTAGCATTGACCCCTTGAATAAATGCCAGCAATTGGGCAGTATCAGTAATATGTCAACTCATCAGTAGCCAGCAAAAACCATTTGAAATTTTTTGTCTTGTCTTTTAACTGCCTCTTGATGTGGCTTCTAAAGTTCTGCCTATGTCTTCTAACAGTTGTTCTCGCCGAAAAACTTACAGATTGAAACTCATCTATTTTTTCTGGACATATTTCTTCAGCTGCCACAAGCTAACGTGATTTAATTAATTCACCTTTGGTAAATGGTTTTCCTTTCACAGCTAATAAATGAGCTATTCATAAGCTGACTTTGGTTATTGTTTCATTATCATTTATTTTTATGAACAAATTGCATTCTGATGGATGACTCATTCTGTTTTTAAACTTTCCAATTTTAATGATCGTTCTTTCTGTGACATTTGAATACCATGTCACATCTGTAGGTTTGGTAACAACAACGTATAATGTGCTATTTTCACACAGCTGTTATATCATTGCCCATTTTATCATTTAATTCCTTGAAAAAATAATTGGCACGCCATTGTGCTTTAAAAGCACAACATTCAAGGTCTATTTTTCTCTTCTTATTTGATTTTGAGAATGATATGGTAATGGTAGGTAATGAATAAAATAAAAAGAACAAAATATTGCACCATTATCTTGACAAATAATACCATGCACACTGTATAGCAAAACTGTCAGCATGCTTGCATGGGGCTTTGCCTGCTGAGAGTGTGTTTAAAAACGAGAAACAAGAGAATACAACAGTGAGCAACAGTCATCAGCTCATCAACAACAGTCTTGATGAGCTTCAGTATCCTACAATTTATTTTTAATTTTGAAACATATTTTTGCAGCACTACTGCTTAAAGCTGGTGGCTGATTAGTTAACTCTGAATGATCCTGAAATAGTTGATCTGATCAACAGCCAGTATGGACAAATATGTGCTTTGATTTAATTTTAATAGAAAAATCTATATAAGATGAGCTATGCCACCCTACACTGGTGATCCAGTAGTTGAGAGTAAATGACCTTAATCTGCATGTTACTGGTACCAACAGACTTCCCAGCAGCAATATTTTTCAGTTAAATTTTAAGATTAGAAATCCTTTAGAGTTTTGATGTCAGAGACATTTTTAATGAACATTTTCCAAAATTTATTACATAACTATGTTACTTTGAACATAGCATCCACTGATCTTGGTATGTATTACCACTCTGTGAAATATAAAGCATTTGAATTACCTTCCATATACCTTGTACTTAACCAGTTTTCAAAGTATTGTCATTTGGCAAAGTATAAAATCATTAATTTATTTTCAAATTTAATCAGTCTATAAGTGTTTTAAAAAGAAAGCAGTTTAAAATCATAAATGCAGTTCTGTATAATTCAGATCTTATTATTGCAATTAATAAAAGATGTTTCTAACATTGCATAACTGTTGTAGAATTGTTTTGTTTTTGTTATTTATTCACTTTTTATTAATATGTACCCGGGTATATACTTATTATTTTAACCCTCCCTGACCAGCAGGATTCCTTATATCTTCTCATGGTGTTTTTTGAATTCTATCAAGTATTGTCGCTCTTTAGTGTATATGTTACTTTATTATTAAAAGCATTTTGTTTATTTTCTTTTTTTTTCATCTAAATATCCTGTTGAATACAAGGTTATGAAAAAAATAATAAAATAAATATCTATAAAAATACAGTTCATGAATTCTGTTTAAATGCAGCTCACCATAAGCGAATTGAAAAAGGTATGCTTTTCAAAAGGTTAATACTTAAAGTAAGATTATATATTTTTACAATCATAAAAGGAATATCTAATTTAATTCTGTAAGGCCAAGAAACTATTGAAATGTTTTCGTTCCTCTTATTTTACTGATGATGATAAATATTACTGCAGTGTATATTTTTAATACTTTGGTATAAATTATATGTTTAGATACAATGTTAAACCTCTTATCCATGGTTGCAAGTATTAATATTGTTGAGGAATTACCTTGCTTTGATTGCAATTTAATTTTAACATTAGGTGCTTTACATTTAATTTACTTCAATCCTGCAGCTATAACGCAGGACTGGTTAAAAAATGTTTGTTTTTAATTTTTGGTCTATTACTATGTTTATTTTAATACTTTGGTGATATATTTAAAGATGAATTAAATAACAGCAATTTTTATGAAGGAATTAAGCTATTTTAATGTCAAATGATATTTAATATGATTTGAAAGAAATTCAAATGAATTTCCTTTAAAAAAATGTAAACTCAGGATTATATTCAGTTATAGAGGAATATGTTAAATTTTTCCTCCTTTCTAAAATGATACTTTTTTTTAACTTTTAAATATTTATTTGAGGCAAAACAGCTAATACACATATTAATAAATTAAATAAAGTAGCAGAATCAAACAAAAGAAATACAGTCAAAAGTCCTTAATCCGGACTCGTCGGAACTTCGGCGATTCCGGATTATAGATCATCAGTTTAAATCTGGTAAGATGGCATGCAGAAATTATAAAATTAAAAATATGAAACCGTAATTTATAATGAGCAATTATGATCTAAAGGGTATCAAAATTTACAAAAAAAGAAGCTTAATATTTATTTGTTTACTTTATTAAACATTTCTTTCAACGCGCTCATGCGTACCTTACGCATAGCCGAAATTAGAAAATTGCAACCAGAAAACTATTTGATTTGTATTCGTGATATTTATAATGACGAGGAATTTGATTTAAATCATATCAAAGAAGGAGTACATCGAGATTAAATACTACATTTAGTAAGAAATTATAAGCCAAATAAAATAAAAACATCTGACCTGAAGATAACGATAGTGCTGACAGATCAACTTCCAGTTCATTGCGCGCAGCGACGCCCCTCCCTCCCCCACGCAGAGCAGCGTGAAATTGATAAACAGATTTCGGAACGGTTAGATAAACAAAGGATATACCTTTATCCATTTTTTGTTTGATGGACATCGAAACATACTTTCGTTTTCTAGATCCTTTGGGAGCTCCAGCATCGGAAATTCTATTTGACATAATCAAAAGTTCAAGCTTACTTTATAAAATTGCTCTTACAGTCTGCAAAAAATAATAAGCCGGATCCAATTCGAAGATTAAGGAACAACGCAATCATCAACATTAACTGAAATAGATAATTAGATAATTTTAGCTCATACCGTCCATACCATACACTATACACTAAATGCGCACGCGAAAACGTATTCTGCGCTTGTGCAGACGCATATGCGCAGTCGTAAATGTCTTGCGCGCACGCATAAAACGCCTATGAGCATGCGTCAACGCGGCGCATGCGCAGAAAGATTTTAGCTTTGAGGTCAGGATTATAGATCATTCTGGATTATGGATGTCCGAATTAACGACTTTTGACTGTAATAAAGAATTTCTGTCACGTAATTGAAAAACATTCATGAACTGAGAAATATAATTGAAGAGGAGTGTAACATCATTTTGAATCTCTCACCCTTTTTTTATTTCCTAGCCTAGCATGTAATAATATTTACTTTGGAACGTTTAGTTGTGAAATTATTTTCATCAGATAATGGAGACTTATCATTGATGAAAATTAAATATTTCTTATAGTGTCCTGTGAACTTCCATATATTCATTCAAACAAGTGGGAATGCTGCTGTTGAGAATACTGTCAACCATTCTGTGATTATTCACTGCCAAAGACGTACGTAAATATTATTTACTGCTTTAATTTTTTATACATTTTATTTAGTTAGAATAACAGTAAGTTGTAAATTTCCTTGTTCAAATTTTATTTTAACTAAATAAAAGTGCCTTAAGTTTATTTTGCCTCTGTCTTTTTCATATTTTTCTGATATTTAACTGCTAAATTATCACTGTCATGAAGACAGAGAATGTGTAAATGACTAAATGACTGTGAAAACATCAAGCATTTTAGTGCTGTACATAAAAATACTGCTTCAGTAACAAAAAGAAGTAAATTATGACAGTCATTATATATCATTTTTATGTTTGCTGATTTAGGTGAATTTCAGTGTGTTTCAATTGCTTTGCCTCTTGATGTTCTTGTGGTTGCCCATGAATTCAGTTCTACTTATGCTATTTATAAATTGTTTATAAGTGCTGTTGATAAACAACTAGAGAAAATGAACGACTGCCTCTTAAACGTAGGTATTTTTAAAATTTTGCTTTATGTAAAAAAGATGCTATTAATGTCTGTTATGTTAACTTGGCTAATTTTATAAAACTATTTCATTTTAAAGCAGTTTATTTGCAAAAGTGTTAATAATAATTCTTTCTTTTTGCAACGGAATGCCACCTATCACAGATTTTTCTCGTTCCTTCAATATGCTATAAATGTTTCCTGAAAGTAATTCAATATTCAAAAACATATTTTAAAACAAAGTTTAAATTTTTAATAAAAATGTCATTTTAATTCATTAAATTTTTTATATACAATCACTGTTAAAATCATTTGTTCATGACTATATATATATATATATATTTACTAAATAATATTGATTATATTATCTCTAATATGATTATAGTAGAATGACCTGAAAAGATTGAGTCCTACTTAGTAAGTTCTATTTCGAAAGATGTTTTAAGTAACTTGAAGTAAATTGTTAAAAATGTTTAACGGGGATTACTAAGTATGGATTCACTCTTTTCAGGTCATTTCTACTATAATCAATCTTAGGAGATAATATAATCAATATTATTTAGTAAATAATTATTATTAACTATTTAGTAATAAATTATTATTAACATTTGCTGCAAGACATTTGCAGCAATTGCGCAAGTAGTAGAATAACTTAATTTCACACTAAATGAACTTAAGATCATACAACATATATATATATATATACACGCATAACATGTGTATTATTAAAAATATTAGTTCTTGAGAATGTAATCATTTAGTCATATATTAAATATATCTCAAATGTCTAAAATTTGTGAGTAATATATTTAAGCTAGAATTCTAAAATAAGTAATAAGTAAAATAGTTTGATGTTCTTGAATGGAAGGAAATATCATAGTGGCCATCAGGTGGAAAACTGCAAGCAGTCTTAACAGGCAGGTAGTCAGTATGAAAAGTTGTGGAGTCGTAGGTGAAAATTGTGACTTTCTTTGGATTGTAGGAAACTTGTTGAACACCATTCAGTTGATTGCCCACTTCTATTCTGGACTGAAATGGTAGCACGAGATCTCATTCGCTATGATCACATTTCCCAGAAAGTATGGATCCTGGTCACGCATAGTAAGGAGTTCTCCAAAGATTTCCATCATTTTTGCTTTCGTTTGTCAGTTTGTATGACGCAAACCAAGATAAGATCTTCCTTTTACCCATATTTCCATAGATGATATCCTTGTTAATGTCTGTCTCCTCCTCCATTAGTCATACAGTTACATTTTTTGTCAGTGTATGTTTCACTTGCCGGATCATGTGTGGTGTTTTGCTTCTCAATATCTGACATGAATGTAGTTCACAGTCAGCTTCTGTCATGAAAACATTTGAATATTCGTAAACATATTTTCTGCTCACAACTTCCATCCCACTTGCACCAGCATTCCATTTGTGTCTGTCACTTTTTTCTCCAATTTAAAACATAAATTTATGTTCCTTCATTGCTCTATTGCACTACTACTTATATAATGACTATATTTGACTGCCTGGTTTATCTCGATGCCATATCTACCGCATGCTATATAGCACTCCTGACATATCTCTGGATGTGCATCTGCGTACCTGATCTCTATAGGGATTGAGACCCATTGTGTAAATCATGCATGTCAAACTCAATGCTTCAAGTATGCTGAATAGTCATCATTTTACAATATTGCAGGCCATTGGGGGGGAAGTTATTTTCATGTTTAATCATGTATTTGAAAATAAATAAATACACAAAATTTTACCTTATATAGTAATTCCTTGAAAAATAGAAGAAACATAAGAAAATCCTGAGAGCAAGCAGATATTGTTTTTTACCAACATTTGGCATCTTTTTCCTGCAACTAGATGTCAGCTGTCAAGTTATACTGGCTTTTCAGCAGTCGGCTTAATGTGTTGTAGAATCTTTCGACGTTAGGAAACTTAAGAAATCCGCATTACTCTGAACGGGATTCAAACTCCGGACCTTCCGACTGCAGATCAAGCTTTCTTCCATTTACACCACAAAGTCAAGAATGCATGAAGGAAAGGACGGAGAAAATACCTTTTTAGGAAATATCGCCCTTTTAAAGGGTGGCTAGGCATCAGCCCAATGCCAAATCCTGGTGATGATGAATCATTGTCACCTTTTAGTTCAGATGCCACTTTTAGAATCTTGTAGAATTTTTTTATTTTGAGAAACTGAAAAAATCCGGATTACTCTCGCCAGGATTTCAACTTCTGGCCTTCCCAATGCACATCGAGCATGCTTCCAGTTACATCATGAAGGCATGCAGAAAGGAGAGAAAGTAGTCCATTAACTACAACAGATTATAAGTTAACAGAGTTCTCAAGTGTGTAACTTGTAGTCTGTTAATAGTAACTTATTGTCTGTTAACTGGATCTGTTTGGGGATTTGTTCCTTTCAGTAAGTGAGAATACATGGAAATCACTAATCATGGAATAATATACAGTACAAAGTCTTTAATCCGGACTCATCGAGACTTCGGCGATTCCAGATTAGGGTTTTTTCTGGATTATAGATCATCGATTTAAATCTGATAAGCTGGCATGCAGAAATTATAAAATTAAAAATATGAAACCATAATTTATGAAATAAAGAGCAATTATGATCTAAAGGGTATCAAAATTTACAAAAAAATGCTTAATATTTGGTTACTTATTAAACATTTCTTTCAATGTAAGTTGTTTAAGTTGCTTCGTTTTATGTGCTAATACTTTAATTCTATTTCTTGTTCAGTTACAAAGTTCCGCTGTTCAAGTCCTGTAATTGCTGTGCCAAGAATACCAACTAACTTGTCAATCGAAATTTTTTCGTTTTCACTAACCTCTCTGTCACTTTCTTCATGCCTTTATCCATTTTTTGCAGCAATTCCACTTTTTGTTTGATGGACATCGAAACATGCTTTCACTGTGTAGATCCTTTGGCAGCTCCAGAATCGGAAACTCTTTTTGACATAATCGAAAGTTCAAGCTTACTTTTTATAAAATTGCTTTAACAGTCTGCAAAAAATAATAAGCCAGATCCAATTAGAAGATTAAGGAACAATGCAATCTGCAACATTAACTGAAATAGATAATTAGATAATTTTAGCCTAGCTTCTACCATTTGCTATACATTAAACGCGCATGCGTAAAGGTATCATGCGCATGCGCAGAAAGTTTTTAGCTTTGAGGTCCGGATTATAGATCATTCTGAATTAAAGACTTTGTACTGTATTATAACTCATACTTTAATTATTTATTTATTTATTTATTTTTTTTGAGTTACTTAAGGAAAATTTGGCAGAAAAAGGAGTTAAGAGCGGCATGGGGACCATGTATTTGACATATGCCTGGTGTAAATGTACATGGATGTGTGTATACATGCATGTACATTTACACCAGGCATATGTCAAATTATGTCTGTTTATAGAATTAAAGTATTAGCACATAAAACGAAGCAACTTAAACAACTTACATTGAAAGAAATGTAATATGTATATGTATATGTCTATATATTGGCATACAATATTTGTTCATTATCTGCATACATTTAGATACACTATCTATCTATCTATATATGTTAATATGCAGTAGTTTTTCTTCTTCATCTGTACACTTTTAGATCTGTTGCTCTTAGTCCATTTTCCAATTTGTAAAATTAAATTTTTTATAATAGTGTATTTATTTTTAATCATTACCAGAAAATTTCAGTTCAGTCAAATAGAATGTCATATTTATCTTTGTAATTAATGTTCTTTACAAGCACCTTTATTTCTTGAAGAATAAATTCTATTTTCATGGTAAAAATTCAGCAATCTTAACCATTTATCTTGGTTAACACATGCTGTGAGCATGCACAGGAAGTTCAGTTACAGGTTGCAAATTTTCTCTCCTCTGCTAGCCCAGAGGCAGTCATGAAAACAAAGATGGAAGTTTCGACATTTGTTCGAGACCCCTTCCTAGCAAAGCACCTAATTTGTATACTTTTTCAGATAACAGGATTAAAAATCTCTCTATGAAGTTTATATTCCATGTAGCATTTTTAGTTAATTACATCTCTTACATTATTTTCCTACCAGAAGAATGTTTCTGTCATTCCTATTCTAAAACCAAGACAGGATCTTATGATCCGTCAACATTACAGATTGATCAGCCTCCTGTGTTCAAGTAGCAAAATTTATGAGTATATATTGCTTAGATGGCTGAGTGATTTCTGTCAAATTCGAAATATTTTGATTCCTGAATAGTTCAGCTTTCAGGCTCACCTCCACTCAAGCCCAGCTGCTGAGAGTAGTTGAAATTATTCACATGGGCTCTGGTAATGGAAAGCGAACTGCTGTTGTCTATTCGTTGTCATAGCTGAGGCATTGTGTCTTAAAATTCAAGATTGCTTAGGGCTAACTTACAGACAGATGTTAATAAATTATCAAAAATTGTTATTAGATTCAGTTTCTGTTTATATAGTGTATTTATATATATATATAAATACACTATATAAACTGATAGTATATATATATTATATATATATATATATGCAGTTTCCAAGTAAGATATGCAATTTATTTGCATTATTATTTTTGCATAGTTTTGTAGAGTATTACGAACTAAATTATTACAGTCATTAAGTTAAAATATAAAACCTATACAATATTTGTAATGATTTATGTAGCAGAATAAATTACAATGCAGTGACTGTAGTTAAGTTCTTTTTTTACAAGGTATTAGTTTTACATTTTTTTAAATGTACGCTCACTTCCAAAAGTTAAGCACAGAGAGAAAAATGCTAATTTCCAGAAGCCAATCAGAATTGAAGAGGATGCAATTCGCTGCAGAGGTAGATGGAAGTATGCAAATATGTTAGGTAACAGCCAATCGTGCTTTCATGTCAAGAAATATGCAAAAAAGGCAGTCTTATAAGAAGCCAGCTTTATGAAGGGTTACAGAAGTTGATTGTAAGTGCTGATAGAAGGTGTTTAAAACTTTCGTACAATTTGTTTTCAAGACATACGTGTTTCTATGACTTCCAGAAGACGAATGGAAGATTCTGAGAGCTGGCGTGCTGTGGGGCACATTGAAGCAGGACAGTCGATCGCAGTTGTTACTCTTTTCTTTGGCATTCATCATTCTGTAATTTCACGTTTATGGAAACAATTCCAAACCACACAGACAGTTGTCCGAAGGCGCGTAGCTTGTCGCCCAAGGGTTGCAACCCCCGCGGAAGATCGATATATTGCCATTGTAGCCAAGCGGAATCGCAGAGTGACTTACACACGTGTGACATCTGTGGTTAACAGCGTCCATTGGTAAGGTGATATCTGCAGCTGCTGTACGCCGAAGATTACATATGAGTGGACTGTACACCCAGGTACCTCGAGTTTGTGTTTCTCTATCCGTCCAATCAAGAGGGGCACGATTACAGTGGTGCCGGGAACACGTCAATTGGAATGTGTCTGACTGGGGCAATGTCATGTTTACTAATGAGTCAAGATTTGCTCTGGAGCCAGATGATAAACGTATAAGGATATGGCTTGAACAACGAACACGCAATTAGTCCAAAAACATCACGCATTCCGAGGCGGAAGCATTATGGTGTGGGCAGGGATTTATTTCATTAGGATACCGTACCGACCATGCACATCTTTAACACGGGGTTCTTTGACAGCTCTCCAGTATCGAGATGAAGTCATAGAAACCCATTCTGAGATTGTATGCTGCAGCAGTTGGCCCTACGTTTGTGTTTAATGGACGATAATGCACGTTCCCATAGAGCTAACATCGTCGATGACTACTGGAGAGTGAAGGGCCAACTGCTGCAGCATACAATCTCAGAATGGGTTCTAGGACTTCATCTCGATACTGGACAGCTGTCAAAGAACCCTGTTTAAAGATGTGCAGTATCCTAATGAAATCTCTGCCCACAACATAATGCTTCCGCCTCGGAATGTGTGATGTTTTTGGATTGTGCGTATGGCGTGGCCAGCATATTCACCTGACATTAATCCCATTGAAAATCTTTGGTATGCTTTCGGCTATGCTGTATCTTCACGTTTACCACCACCACCAGCCACTCCTATTGAGTTGGAAACTGCTATACAAGAAGAATGGCGATTGCTTAATTCTGCAGTGGTTGAGCACCTAATTGAAAGCATGGTCACAAGGCGTAAACTTTGTATACAGATGAGGGGGGATCACATACCCTATTTATGTCCTTTTTTTTCATTTTATGCTGTTTATTTTCACTTTATACATAATTCTGTTTAAGTCACCAGCATGTCATTATCTGATAACTTACAAAAATTTAATATTGTTTCATTCCTGTATATAATTATTGATTTTGTTTTATGCATAAATATATATGCTATTTTCTTGCCGAATTTTGTGTCAGTCAAAGCAGTATTTGTTGATTTTTTGCATTTTACATCTCCATGCTTAACTTTTGTGTATTATTTTATTGTAAAACATGATCAGATACAGTAAGAAGCAATTAAAAGAATGAATATCTGTGTAATTCAATAAAATGCTAAGCATTCCAAATTTCCAATTTTGATTGATGCTTTACTTAAAATATAACTGAAACAATAGACCTGATAAACATCTTAATTAGAGAATATATGTTAAATATTTAAAGTTTAGATTATTTTTTTATATTTAATTATATTTATATTTTCTGAGTATTGTAGATTTAGGCATTTTTTATGTGTATTTTATTCTTCAGATGCTGTACTGAAACTTGGCATTTGCCTTTCTGTCCTTTTTCTTTTTTAACATAGAATGCAGACTTCGTTACTCCAGTTCCTTATCATTTTTATCCTGATATGTGGGACTTTCCCATAACAGTAATTTATCCTTTAAGCAAAGAAGATGCAGAACTTGGTATGTGTATCTGCCATTTCACTATCAGTATTTCATTTATTTTTTAATAATATGAATATAATGTTCAGATGTTCATGAGAAAAAAATAACAATATATGAAATAATCATTAAACGTCTTGCATTTATATGAGAATTTACAGTAATATCACTTTTAGTATTGCATATTTCTTTATAGTATGTTATTTCTTTTAATGCAGAGAAATACCGAAGACATCTTCACAAGTTGTTGCTTTTACCATTGGATCGCCCCTTCTTGAAGAAATTAAATGTATATTTTTGTGATTCATTATCTACTGGCTACTTAATAAATCCTCATGAAGGATTAGGTGCTTCTGGAAGTATGTTTTTTTTTTTTTTTTCCCTTTCCCCAAATAGTTTCATTGTGAATTATCTGATGTTGTATGACTGAACAAATTAAATTTTATCTTTTTGGTTTCTGGATTTCATAATTCTGATTTTATATTTTAAAGGAAAAAAAAACTATATTAGGACTATTTGAAAGAGGTTCTTGTGTACATTTGATAAGTATGAATCAAGATTTGTTGTACATCAAGTATATATGGCATCAGGCAGAGATGTAACTAGAAATTTTGGGTCCTTAGGCAAAACTTAAAAATATATATGTGTGTGCATATATATATACTATATTTTATTATTTCAAAAAATATTAAATTGCCGTAAAGTACTATTATTAGTAATTGTATTACAATATTATCAGCAACTATGTTGGATTTAAGCTTTGAAACTCCTAAGCTGCAATGGATTGATGATGGTTCTTTGCATGGTATAATGTAGAAAAGCCTTATTGCATACTTAGAAAGATGACACTCAAAGACAGACATAGCCGTAAATTCCACACATAATTTTATTCTTTGGATAATTAATTCTTAGGTTACATATTCTTTTCCATTGCATATCATCACTGTGTGTGCTAAGTACCCCACAATTTTATACAGATTATATTTTTAGAACAATGGACAATAGCTATCAGAGGTTAAGTGACACGTCAGCGAGCAAAGTAACATCTTAATGGCAAAATAGCTAGAAGCAAAATGTATGCATTTATCTAATGTGGCAGTCTATTAAGAGCTCTCAAAATTTTGATTTCGAAATTAGCTATGTCAATCAGCATTACGCAGTCCAGAAAAAGGCATCATTATTTATAGCTAAGGCTATTGCTAGTTTAAATTACAATTTTTACATACATTATTTTAAGTCATTTAAAGTTATTTAAATATTTCTATTGTAATAGAAATAGTATATTGAATCCAAAAAAACTAAAATATTAAAAATAAAAAGTAAAATTTAAAGTACTAAAAAGGTAGGTATTGTCATTGATCGCAGATTAATTGACTTATTAGGGGGAACAAACCAATCCACTATCAAATAACAATAACCAAATTAAGTCATCTTTTTTCCAAGTAAGGGTCAAATAAATTATTTTGCTAGAGTTAGAATATAAGTTATGAACAAAACTCAATTATTAGAAAGTGTGAAAGAAATTAGTCATTTGTTATAACAAAATCTAAAATAAAATGAGTAATATATTTTTCCTAATTTAACATACTCATTAAGAACTAAATTAAATGAGATCCTCACTTTAGAAGAAACATTCGCCGGCACTCTCATAATATTGTAAAAACAATTGAAACTGTTGTAAAACTATTGAAATCTGTACAAATTAATATGTAGAGAAGATATTAATAAAAATATGTATAAATTAATACATTATATTAGATTCAAACACTAAATTAAAAATAAAAAATAATACATTCTTTAATTTTAAATTAAAAGTAGAAACTTATTTAAGGTACAATGCCAGAAAGGAAATTAAAATTAACTTACCTGCTTGCAGAATTTGAAACGAAATGCCGTAACTGTAAATGTAATAGGATTGTTGTATTAAATGTGAGAAAAGTAGTAGTTGGTGATGTATCGAACTGTATTTGAGAGATGGTAGCCTTAAATTGGCGATGATCTTACTGTTAGTTAAAGCTGTCATTGGACACTAGTTTCTTAAATTAATGTATTTATTTCTGGCTAATGGTCTAAAGCATAAAGAAGGAGGTATCTTCACTGGTAAAGGGCTATATAAAATGAAACTTTGTAATTTTGAACTTAAAAATCTAAAACTTGAGTTGAAGCTGCTAAGTAAACAAATTTTAATGTATTTATTAAGTATGGATTATCTCCTAGTAAAAGAAATTGTGAAAATTAATAAAAATTGTGCCAGAATATTTAAATCTTTAATTATTTTTTGACATTTTTGGCTTCTTTATTTTCGATTTTATTTGGCTTTTATGATTAGTTCTTGTATAAGATGACTTAAACACATTTGCTTCTATTAATTACTGTGGTTTAATTGGAAATTGATTTGTTCGCCTTGAAAAGACAATTTAATAAGTGGCTAATAGATTAGAGAGATTTATTGCATAGATACAATGATGAAACATGGAGACAAATGTAACTGTAGATTCACAGTTTCTGAACATGCTAATCTGATTCACACATCATTATCAGCATAGTATGCACTACACATTTTTGGAAGCTTAACATATTTTAAAACAAACCCTGATAACAGAAATAGGAGATGCTAAGTATTAATTGGAAGACTTGTGACCCAGTCAAGCTTTTGTATTTCCTGCAGTACAACTATTCTGCAATAAATAATATAAAAAATCTTAGCAATGCCATCAGATTAATGATCTCTAAATTTTATTTCAATTCTTAAACTTGAATCTTCACTTTTGTTTCCAGTATAACCTTTGTTCCATTAACAATATTTACCGTATATACCCGTGTATAAGTCGAGATATTTTGGTTAAAAAGTTTCGCCAACATGCCAAGAAAAGAGAAATGCAGATAGTCATTTTTAAAAGAAAAACTTTGCTCAGTGGGTTAAAGATGCTTGGAACGAAATACCCTCTGAAATGATTATAAAATCATTTAAAAAATGTTGTATTAGCAACAAACTAGACGGCACGGAAGATGATACTGTTTTTGAAAGTGAAAGTGACGACGAAGGCTCTAGTAGTGATTTAACAATACAGATTTCGAGACTGAAAATATGTATGATGACAGCAGAATTCTATGAAATGTTTGGCGAATCGGATGTTGAAGGATTTTGATTTTGTTTATTTACCAAGGTATTTTTTATCATATATTTACTTTTTTTCCTCAGATGATTTTGAATAATTGTAGTACTTAGAAAAAATTTTTCGAAGTTTCTCGATTTCGGAAGTGGGAGGTTGACTTATACGCGGGTTTTCTACGAATTTTTTATGTCGAAGTGGGGGGGGGGTCAACTTATACACGAGTATATACGGTACCTTTTTTAAATCTATTTTGTATTTATTAGCTTGAACGTAATTTTGTGCTACCTGTAGAATTAACGCATATAACCTAATACTTGAAAAGAACAATGGATTTTACTTCATTTTCAGATGAAAACACTGCTCTTGTTCAAGGCAGGTATAGCTACCATCATTATATGCAAGATCGTATGAATGACGACGGTTGGGGCTGTGCATATCGTTCCTTACAAACAATAATATCATGGTTTAAGTTTCAAGGTTACACAGATAAAAATATACCAACGCATACAGAAATTCAACAGGTTTGTTGCATTTAATGTTTAGAAAATCTGCATTTTTATTTTGCATATTCTTTTGGTGATACAGTACCTTCATGTAGTAACACAGATATTTGAGTAATTCAGTATTGTTACTTTTCTTAGGCTTTGGTGGATATAGGTGACAAACTTCCATCTTTTGTAGGGTCTAAAAAATGGATTGGTTCTCAAGAAGTTAGCTTTTGCCTTGATTATCTGATAAATGTAAGTTACAAAACTAAATCTACTAATATCCAAATCCTTATTAAAACATTTATAAAAACGTGTTCTATTTTTAATACAGTATTTGAATGGTAGATGTAGAACTTGACATGGATTCATGTTTAAAGATATTAAACATTACTTTCTTAACTTACTGTAGGTAAAATCAAAAATCATGTGTGTTAGCTCAGGTGCAGAACTGGCAAATAAGGGCAGAGAGTTGTTCAATCATTTTCAGGATCAAGGAACACCTGTCATGATAGGTTGTAAATTTTATATTCATTCTTAATAAGTGATTTTGAAATATTTCAATTTGACAAACATAGAATACAAAATAGTGTATAATTAGTGTTACAGCATTTGAAGGAGTAATAGGTGTCATCTTCATGTTACAGTGATGAAGATAACACCTATTATGCAAACATGACTTTATGACAGAGATTACTACATCAGTAAGTTGTGTAGTATTACTTCTGTTTTTTATCATTTTGTTCTGAAAATTTGGGAGAATACAAATTAATTGCTGAAAGTTGTGTAATTTATTTTATGTTATGTTTTAGGGAAAGAAATTACTAATGGCTAATATTTGCATTAATTTACAGCAAAGATTCAAAATGGCATTAGTTTGCATAAAAGCTGCAACACGCAAAAACTTTATTAGCTCAAAGCTATTTAATGGCCAGAAGGGCTATTAATTTAAATTGAAATATTTTTATTATTAAATGTGATTAATATTACAGTTACTGTTCAAAATATCAATCATCAAATGTGATACAAGCACTGATTAGCTTCTTCAAGAACTGACCTATTCCTTAAAGAATTTCTGGAATATTATCAAATATTGTCATCCTAGGCAGCATCCATTTGTAAATTGCATGTGAAAAATGCGTGCAATTTATGAATTGTGCTTCGTATAAAAAACTTAAAACTTGAACATGAAAATATCGTAAGATGTGTCTTGAAAACAATATATATATCTTTCAGTTTTCTACTACTACATAATAGTTTTTGAAAAACTCTGTGCAATTTGTTTACTTTTCATAAACATGTACTTTACATAGATATTTATGTTAATTTTTCTCTTTTTTTTTTACTATACACATATGTATAATTTCAGTTAAAATTCAGGTTAACCTCCTGCACCTTTTGTTGCATATTGATGTGCATTTTTGGCAAAAATTATGTAAATCAAATATTTCTTACTATATCTTCTACTGCATTTATGCATATGAAATTTTCCACAGTTTATTAAATATGATAAGCTAAAATAAGATATCAAAATGTTGTTAATTAAATAATCAGTTTTCTACAAATATATGAATTTTATATTGTAGAATTTTATATTAAAGCTATTACTGAGATGAAAAATAGCAATAAAGTCATTGAAAAAAATCTGAATTTTTATTAATAAATTCATAGTGTTCTATGAAAAAATTGACACATGCTTGAAATGACATGGGGTTTAATTGAAAGAAAAAAAATTGCAAGGAAAGGCCAACATATGGCACAGGGCTGCAAAATGTCAGTAGCCACTACATGAGAAACGCGTATGAAATCAGCTGTTGTGAAAGAGGGAATCTACCCCTTCATGGCTTTGTCAATTTTTTAACCTCCCCTCCATGTGTTTGTCACAGTGTGATGTGAATTTATCACATAAGTTGTGATCAGACCCTTTCTCTTCGAGGAAATGCATGTTATGCTATTCAAACTTTCAGTGTGATGGGTGCAAGGTATGCTGATATGTTACAGAATCCCATTATCCCTAGTTTGGCTGATAAAGACCTGTTGGAAGTATGACTTTTATTTAGGATAGTGCTTCACCCTGTGTGATTGCTCATATTTTGGCATGGAAAAAAATATAGAAGTTCCTTTTTGCAATAACTCATTATTGGAGATGAGAATTAGATACAGCCTGATGAGTAAAAACTTTAAGGCCAGTAAAAATTTTTGAGAAAATGTAAAATGAAATAAAAGGGATTCAAATAATATTAATTATTAAAGTTCACTGATAAGAAATAAATGCTATAAACATAATTTGTAAATACATAATTATGAGAAACGTGGTTATTTACAAAGTTAGTATTTCTGGCTGAGTAAAAACTTTAAGGCCACCAGTCATTTTTTAAAAATAAATATAATATAATCGTGTAATTACCATTGCAACTACTAGCTTGTGACAACGCTGCAATTTTCATATTTGTCATACGTTTCTTCGAAGTATTGGTGATCTTTGTGAAGATGGCGAAGGGTAAGAAGTTAACTGATCGTGAAAGAGGAGAGATCGAAGCTTTCTTCAATTTTTCTTCAACAGTTTGTCAATTTGTGTCTTCTATTTGTCTTTTTCTTGAATTCAACAGGAATGAGTAGTCGTGCTATTGCGATAAAGATAGGAAGATCAAAGACTGTAGTCAACAATTTTTTTTTTTAAATTGAAAGACAATTATGGTAAAAAGAATACTGGGGGAAGACCTAAAGCTTTGTCCTCGCGTGATGAAAGAAGAGTTTTGCCAACTTGTATCTACTGGAAAGTATTCAACCAGGAAACTGATTCCGACGACAGGTTTAAAAGTTTGTCAAAAAACGATTTATAACACAATTAGAAGGTCTGGAAGGTTCAGTTATACAGCAAAATTAACTAAACCTCAGTTACTGCAGAGACACAAAATAGAGCGTTTGAACTTTGGCCAGAAAGTCATGACCTGGGAACCAATCGATAGAAATTATTTTTTCTGGAAAAAAAAAAAAAGGGGGGGGGAATTTGGATGAACCAGATGGCTGGAATTTCTACTGGCATGATATAAGAAATGAAAAAGAAATATTCTCCAAGCGCCAATTATGTGGAGGGTCTGTCATGACTTGGGGCTGTTTTGCTTACAATGGTGTGGGTTCAATTGTTTTCGTTTCAGGTAGAATGAATTCACAAGGATACCAAAATGTCCTAACAAATCATCTTTTGCCAAATGTTGAATGTCTTGCTGGAGAAAATTGGAAATATCAGCAAGACAATGCATCGATCCATTCGAGTAACAGCACAAAAAATTGGTTCCAAGTCAACAATGTTGAAACTGTGAAATGGCCAGCTAGATCACCTGACCTCAACCCAATCGAGAACCTTTGGGGTGACTTAGCAAGAAGCGTTTATGCAAATGGGAGACATTTTACATCAACAACAGAGCTGAAATCTACTATCGAAGATGAATGGTATAAAACCGACCCCACCCTTTGTCAAAAACTCGTTTCATCCATGAAAACCAGAATATTTGAAGTAATTCGAAGAAATGGCTCCTACACAACCTTCCGAGTATTTGTAATTTTTTTCTTATATGTTATTTTCTATGTTGGCCTTAAAGTTTTTACTCAGGCTCAAATATTCATCCGTGTGTTCTGTAATATTTTCTAATAATAAAATATTTGCAAATTAATTTTTCTACTTTTTTTACTTAAGCTCAATAATTGTCAATCAAATGGTATTTTAATTCCTCAGTTTAAATGTTTCCATTTTCTCAAAAATTTTTACTGGCCTTAAAGTTTTTACTCAGGCTTTATTATACAATAATGTTAAAGAAAAAGAACCTCCTTTAGTAGCATCAAGAGGGGGGCTGCATCTCTTTGGATCACTTCAGAATTGTCTGAATAGAGTTCACTTATTTGGAGACTGTCAAACAGCCCTTCGCTAACTTCTTTTTGAATAAAGCTGATGACTTAAAAAAAAAAGAGATTTTCCAACTGCTGGAGAAATGGTAGAAAGGCAAAGAACAAAATGTTACAGAAATAAAATTAATTTTATATATTTTAAATTGTTACAGATAATTTATGATACTTTATACTCACTACAAGCCCCCCCTCAAAAAAAAAAAAAAAAAAAACTTCTGCCCAAGTTAAAAACAATTAACTTAAAACTTTATATGTCAAGCTATAATAACTTTCAATAATTTTGTTTCTTTCCATGGTCTAATGTAATGTCAATGTTCCATGATCTAATGTAGAAAGAACTAATGTTTTTTAAGGTGGAAGGGGATCTGTATTTCTACAGTTTATATAAGTGTAGAAATTTTGTGGAATGATCTAGATTTTCAGCGGCAAGTTTTTTGTGATATATAATCAATGCCATTTCTTTAGGAGGTGGAGTTCTAGCCCATACAATACTAGGAGTGGATTTTAATAAAAGCACTGGAGACCTAAAATTTCTTATTTTGGATCCTCATTACACTGGAAGTGAAGATCTGAATGTTATTTTGAATAAGGTAATAAATAACACTGTTTCAACAACAAAAAAATTTTTTTGCTAAAATCATATTATTCCATAATTTTAATTTTGTATAACTTCTTAAACGTAATTTTATTATGTTTAAAAATTAGAATTTATTGTTAACTATGGACAGGGAAATTGTTGAGTTGAAGCAAGAAAAATATTTCACTTTATAAATGAAATTAAATCCAAGATAAAATAAGAATAGCTTATACAGCCTTATGATCTGTAATTGATCTTTTAAATCACAGAATCCTCGCCATTTTCGTTTCACTGTCCCCTTTTAAAATTTTGTTCAGTGCCTCTTACATCTGCAATGCTTTAAATATCATCATATCATTCATAGGCACTGAATAAATACTGATTATTTTTTATTCATTACACTTTACATTTTTAATACCCACCCGCTTCTTGATTCTTTTTTTTATTGCCCCTTAGAGCTGCAATGCCCCCTTAAGCTCAAAATTATATCAGTTTTACTGAAATGGTAATAATTTTGAGATGGCAACATAAATACTGCTTTTATATAAAACAGTGAAATGAAATATTTATTGAAATTTAAATGGTCTGGAAATCACATATATTGTTGGAATCTTTACTACAATTCCTATTTAGTGAATATTATAATTGTAAAATATGGAACTATGGAAAAAATTGTTAGACTTCTTTTTTATATTTACATGTCGAATGTACATGCTTGGGTAAATATTTAAATTTTGATTTTCACAGCAATAATTCCAATTTATCACATACTTCAGGTGTTATGCAGCATCTGAAGACCCATGTTAATTCCAAATTAAAAAAAAAAAAAAAAAAAAAAAAAAACTAATAATTAAATATACTGTAACATACATACAACAAGAGTTCATTTTTACTTGTTCGTTAAAGTATAGTCCTTTCTTATAGTGGTATAGATTTCATTAATTAAAAAAAAAATGTTTGTCATGATGTTTAAATTTTATTGATGACTTTCAGGGCTGGTGTGGCTGGAAAACTGTCCAGTTTTGGGATGAGTCCGCATTCTATAACCTTTGTTTACCACAGCGACCAAAAGATTTATAAAATTCTTGAAATTTAGTTTTGTTTATTAAATTTATATTTTTCTAATGAAGTAGAATATAAAAGATTATTTTCCTGGCTGATAAAATGTCCATATATTATTTTTCTTCAACTGTATATTTTATTACAAGAGATATAATGTTCCTGTAATAAATATATTTCAGTCAAGGCAAAGAAGTGTTTATTAATGCAGTTCTAAAATGATATGAAATCGTAAATACATACATTATGAAATAAGCGTAATTTGAAAATAGTTTCGTGCTTTTATTTATTAGAAGCAACTCCAGGAATACTCACACATTGGATTCCACAAAAATCACTGTTGTAAAGACAAAGTTCATTGGTTTGAATTGGATAAAAACAGTTGCTGTTCACTGTTTTAGAGATAAATATATATATATATATATACAATTCAAATATTCACATGGATTTACTATAATACTATTATTGAAAGCATTCTCTTTCAGCATCTAAAACTTTGTTCTGTTTAAAGTTATTAATTAAATAAATGATCGGATACATAACAAGCATAATTTTTATTCCCCATTAACTACTGACTTTTACAATTAGATCCCATAATTTTCTGTACAAGCATTAATTTTGGTTCTCCACACAGTGAAACATTAAAAGACAGAATAGGCAAACCTCATCCACTGTTGAAAATCTGCCTGTGATGGTTGATGTATTAATACTGTATATATTTTGCTGTGTAACTAGATGTCTTATGGGGGAAACACAGAAAATAATTCTCTTTTACATGAGTTTATCAATAAACACTTAGAAATTAAGAAAGTTTCTAAGTTCTCAGCTTCATACCCTTCAGAATACTGTCTTTTCTACTATGTATGAGTGAGTGCAGTCTGGAAAGCTGAAAAGCCTGTAGACGTCTGCTGGAGAACACATGAGTAATTAATATTGCAGTTACTGTTTTTCCTCTCGTAAAAAGCTTGAATATATATTTCAAATACCAATTGCACAGTGTTTATACTACAATATGCACAACAGTTAACAGCCATGATGACTGTGTTCCAATATACTTATCGAGAAAACTTATAAGAAAAATCTAATCTATAATTATAATGTACACTATGACTAATATCTCTCAATTCAAACTGAACCACACTAATCTATCGGAGTAAACCTGGAGGAGAAATTTTAAAGAAAGATGTATTTACTACAAAATTTTAACAAAAAGCACATTTGCATATGACAGAACAAAAAAAAATAAAATGCCTTTGAAAATAAAATGTACAATGATTATACAAGATATTTTAAATAAAATTTAGGTAACGATTTTTGCTAATATGGACAGTTTAACGCAATATACAAATTCATGAGTATCTTAAAAGGTTGGGAAACTGGGTATTTTAACATACCTTAATATATAAAAAGTAAGCTGGTTTCACATTGCAAACAAAATACATATACATAACACAATCGCGACCTTGCAGTCACCTGCAACGCGGTCAGATACGGCATAAAATGTCGAAAAATGTTTCTGAATTTGACCAGTTCATTGCAACGCACACAAGGCCACACCCATACAAACAGCACTAAGTGCAAACCACTGGATCTGTTCCACTGGTGAGGGCTAAAATGGGTTAATTCTAAGAATCTTTTTTTGGTTCCTTTTCTTCGTCGTCATTAAAATTTAACCAGCTCTGTTCAACAATGGTTGCAACCCTCTTCTCATATTCTCTACGATTTTCTTGATATAGCTGGGCAGCTAAACTATTTGCAGGACTATTGGGATTTGGCTCATCCAGTAGGGACTGAAATGAAATATAAAATATGTAATACTAATACTGAGATCTATTATGCAAAAATACAGAAAAATGCTACCAAGTTAGAACAATTTCATATTATAATTCTTAATTATTAAATGTATTATACAGGGTCTTTCAAAACTAACCGAACGAGCGAGTTAAAGAGCGATAGAACATATAAACATTTTTTGTTGCAGAATACATAGTCACATGTTAAGCACTTAGGCCCTGAATGGCTGATAAAAAGTCTTACTTTTTTGTCTTCAGCGACCTTATTATTTTTTTACTAAGCCTCTGCATGATATCCAAAGTTAAATCATAAGGCTCAATATGCAAACATGCATTCTATAATTAAAAGTATTTGTTTCAGTGCACTCATAACTCTTTGTTCTACTAGTTTTGAAACACTCTACATGTAAATAAACAAAACGCCATTAACAAAATTTCAAAAATTACTTAAATGTGCTAATAATTAAGAAATGAAACATTTTCAGGACTAATAAATAAAATGCACTATTTTGGAGCAAAAATATTGCTTATGCGAATAGAAAAATCTAATAATTGATTAAATCCAATTTGTAATGAGAATTCTGTTTGATAAATCTGAAAAATGTCTGTTGCTCGGTACTTAATAAATTAGTAACTATGCTGGAATACAGAGCACCTCCAAATTGAAAAGCAAAAGCAGAAATTTGTATTTTGTTGAAATTATTTTTACAGAAACTTTGCTCTCAAACAGCTTTCCCCCCCAAAAAAAATATAAAAATGCATTGTTAGCTTAACAACACTTTAAAACCTATTTACAAAATAGATTAAAATCTAAATTCTAAACAGAATAGAGGCTTTTTGAAGTCATTTTAATACTTAAAAAGCAAATTTGTGATATATTTACATAATGAAAAGAAATGAGAATAAATATGAATTGGAAAAAAAAAAAAAAAAAAAAACTAGGCTTTAAAGCCCTTAAGGAACAGTGCTAAATTTTCAGCATTTCAAACAAAAGATGATTTTATAAATACAGAAATTATTTTCTAGGTAACCAAATCTTTAAATACATGTCCACTTATTTCCGTTTTATCCAGTTTTGAGGTTTGATATTAAGTTGATGTTATCTTAATTTTTAATACATTCATATTTTTATATCTTATTATAACAAAATGTTAAAACATTTTCTCTAATTAAAAAAAAAAAAGGCAGAATTATCGTAAATACTACACTAACCTGTATTGATGTCAAAATAGCAGATACATCATATGTAGGACTCCATCGATTCTGAAGAATATCCAAACAGATACTACCGTCAGCATACACTGCAAATATTGAATTAATATAGAGTGAATTGTTAAAGCTAAATAATGAACTGCTATAGCAGATACTCCAAAAATATTAAAAATGAAATTCACATTACTTTAGACTAATATGTACTTCCAAATTAATTTGTTAATTAACAGTTCTTAAAAACAAATCGGTATCTACCTGAATGTAGTCTATTGATTTAGAATTCCGCAAGCATGGTAATGATTGCTGTTAAGTCCTCTAATTTATTCGAATACCCTAATCACCTCTGTGAAGTAATGAAGACTCACATTATGATAGTAAATAAGGGGAAGGTCACAAATACCATGAAGTAATAGAATATGAAAAGCCTTCAGTAGGGAAACTGGCTTATGTATATTTGTGTTATATGAGGAAATGTCTCAAGAAAGCATTCCTTTCAGTTACAGTGTATAGAAGATGACACATCTGAAAATAATTATTTCTGAGAAATAAATTAGCATCAGTACTGATTACTATAATAGTCTTGAAAGACGACTGCATTCTGCAGATCATTCAAATTGTGCTTCATATCCCAAAACAGACTGCTTCCTATTGCTTTAAGGGGGGGGGAGTTAACAGTTAATTCAGTGTGGTTTGTATAGTATACAAACCACAATAATATACTGAAGCATATAATGGATGTCTTTTTAGCACTGTGTAGTCTTTCTTACCTTCGATTTTTCCCATATTAACAGCTATTTTGAATGATGTCATTGCAATCATTCACAGTAATTTCAAAAGTGTCATTTCATAATTTCTACATATAAAAAATAGAAATGATAGAACTATATTCATATGTGGGCATATATATTTTTGGTACTTACGTATTATTGCAACCAGGTTGGCGCGATTTGTAAGTTTGAGTAAAAAAGTATGAATAGAAAAGAAAATGTACATTTATTAATTACAGATAATTTTTAATACCGTTTTTATATTATTTTGTTTTAAAATATAAAATAGCAATTAAACCAATCCGGTTTCGAATTTGAATAAGTTGCAGAATTATTTTTCCGGCGGAAATCTTTTGGCTATTGCTTTTAGCACTGATTGAAAACCGTCTTCGCCATTAACAGCTTGAGCTTGGCGCCATATAAATTCTATAAGGTATGAGTCAAGATGATGATGGGCTGTTCCTCTCTGTTTTTTGTTGCGCAATTTGGCTGAGCCCCACATGCGCTCTACATGTTGTGTGTGAACGCCCGTGTTGGGATCCACAAAGTTATATTTGTGATTAACAGTTTCATGCAGAAATCCAGCATTTTCGAACTCACTTGTATTGTATCCTTTCCAGCAATCTGAATAAATGATGCTTCCTTCCTTGATATTTTCGCAAATTTTTTCCATGAGGGTAACGGCGCTTCTGTTACGTACAGTAACCAAAAAAGTCTCTTTCTTTTCTCGGCAAATTCCGCCGAAAACGCATTGCTGTGGTAGTACACACCGAGTGTTATTTTTTCTTTTTACAAAACTACGTATAACACGTAGGGTTGCCGTAAGTAGGGTCGCCAAATTTGGCGATTTATGCGAATTTTGGCCTGGTTGTGTTAAACGCACATTTGTAAAAAGACATTAAGAATTTACTATGCTTTCATCATACAACATCCTGATTCGCCGGTTCATATCACATGACCCCAAGTGATCTCATCTCATGTAAACTACACTACAAAAATCTAATTATCTACATTATTTTCAAGTTAAATCTTAATTTGGAATACAAGTTTAAATGCAAGAACTATTTCAATTTGTACGAATAGCTTACTAAGAAATTAAAACCGCAGTGCTTTATTTCGCTAGTGCATTCTCATTAGAATGGATGAATTTAACCCTTGACTTTGCCTTATGTATATTTCCACCATCGAGTGAGCGGTGTGATTACATCCTAATTTACTTAATTACTGCCTGTGAATGGCCTTAGGGGCATAAAATTGAACTATCTGGTAAAAATTCTATGTAACTGTATGCCAGTATTGAAAGAAACAATCTATCTGATCAGAAATTGTTTTTGAAAATGTAAAAGTTAAAGGTTACCAGCGAGGATATTTCGTTTGGCATCGATTGTTACATTACTGGAGACTGTATCGGTTGCGCCGTCAAAAACAGAAAAGTACCCTTTTTTATATGCAATGTTGAATAGATGGGATTAATTGCAAATACAGAATCTAGAAGTCTTTCATAATCTATGAAATAACTAGTGTATTTATTCAATTTGAAAGCTGAATTCTGAGCAGTTACAACCTCATATCATTACTTATGAGAATACATAAACATATTTATCAATTGTGGATCCTTGGTTTCTATCTGCAGAGTGTTCTTGTTAAATGTTGTACCTTGTATCAGCCACAGCAAGTATCCAACAGAGATAGAAAATATTTATTGGGTTCTCAAAACAGAAAGCATAACATAGATTTGTTGAAGGAAACGTCAAAACAAGGCACATTAAGTAAATTTCTAAATAAAATGCAAGTTGATAATGTGATGACACATTCTACCCGACATTGAAACCAAGGAGTGGCCCGAAAATTATGCAAATTTCAGGGTAGATGCATGTCACCGAGTTATGTGAATTATGTGTTCTGCAGCTCTCCAGAACACATTAAAGATAGATATAAGGGAAGAAACCTGTAGAATGTTCAATTTTCATGCTGTTATTTATGCTAAAGAAATCATCGTAGAAGATTCATTCTTATCTCAGAAGACACGTGTTAAGAGAGAATGCCAGGCCGTCGTCAACAGAGGCAATTCCAGCGGACAGACGATTTTACGAAGGACATCGCAATCAAACTGAGAAGAGAAGGTTGGTCCATATGGCAAATCTCAGCTAACACACACTTAGACACCTTCACAGTGCACCGGCTGTTGCAACCATGGTTGGCACAAGGAAATGTGCCAACAAAATTATCTGTGTTATGAAAAATAGTACAATCAGAAACAAATATTATTCTGAGGTTCTAAACTGTTTGTGCACCAGATTACGTTTGCAAATGCTATAAAACGACCTAAAACAAAATTCAGTAGGTATATAATACCCCAGATGTTGCTGCTAAGTTAGTTCTACCTTTACATTACTACAAACTGCCGGCAATATTTGATAGCACTTTGGAGCATTTACAAAAAGAATTTTGAAGACATTTTCCCAAATGTATCAACCTGGACTGAGAATTTCATTATGCATGGCAATATTAGTACCCTCAACAAAGTGCAGCTTTTCAAAGCTGAAGCTGATTAAAAATTAATCTTTAATGAATGAAATGATTAAGCAGTAATAACAGTAGAAAGGCAGACTGTGCATTCTTGGGACATACAGGGTTCATACACATTTCTGCACATGGAAATTAAGTACTTTTGAGGACTTTTAAGGACCATTACTGAAAAAAATTAAGGACATATGAGCAAATAGCAAATTAATAAATTCAATTAAAATATTATATGTGCCTGAACTTCACTTTTGCAAAACCACCCAAAAAACAAAATAGATCCGTAAGTAGGAAGCATTATTATTAAACATAACTTAATTATTAATTGAGCATAAAATATACTTTATGAAATTTACCAAACAGCATTAAATATTTTACACTTACAATAGTTCGGTATATCTGAAAGAAGATAAGTGACATTTTATTTACGTTTTACTAATAGTTAGTTTCATGCTTATTTTTTTTATGTCTCATTAGTCATTTACTAAATCTAGAGGTTTAGTAAATAGCAGGTAGATTTTATGTCAAGCATCATAGTTTAAAATGAGAAGTAAAATCATAATCAGAATGATTTATAACAAAAGACTGGATGTTGTCACCGCTACTCCTTACCTACAGTGAGGATCAGAACAAAACTGAGAGGCCTGATGTGGGAACGGTTAGCTAGTTTTGTTAGTTGGGCTCTGTCTGTTGCAGTTAGTGTTGTAGCTCAGTGTAGAGTTCCAGGGTTTGTAACCAAGTTAATATACTTTAAGGTTCCAATAAGCAACTAAAGCACCAGAGGTGACACTAAGTTGCTTTGTATTATTTTAGGTCTCACTAGATACTAAGAATAAGTTTTCCATGAATTTTTACATTTTTATGTTTTACCTTGTACCACGCTAAGGAATAATGAAAGGCAATAACTCACTTTATTATGCGGAGATAATTTTTAAGGGTAAGCAGTTAGTTATAAATTAAATTAGGTAGTTAGATAACCTAAGTCATTATGGATTTACATGATTACTATTAAATTTTACTTATTTTTTAACAATATTGTTAAAAGTCCCTATTAAAATCACAATCTAATAAAATTTCACACTTTAAAATACATGCAATTTATGTCATTGATTCTTAAACGAAATTAGGATAATTATACATTAAAGCTACAAAAAATTTATGTTTTGTAGCAACAACACTTAACAAAATATTTATGCATCTTTCTAATTTGAAGGCTTCCCTGGCGTTTTGGCTTAATTTATATCAATTTTCTTCTCTTTAAACATCTTTCCTAACAATTAAAAGTCTGTTTGAATACGCAAACCAATGTTCTGACTAGTTCTGCGTGCTTTATCTCCTAACTTGTCAACCTCTCCACAATGTACCTATGAGGGTTTAATTGATCTGGTAAAAGTTAAATAGTCCAAAAACTCCCGACAGACGTGAAGCAGGTTATTGTTATGTCTCAAAGTAACTATAAAGTCAGACAAAGGTTTAAATAAGCCTCTTATTTAAAAAGAACTTAAAGGCGTGTTCTTATGCTAATCAATTCAATTGCAATTTGTGGTGATGTAATTAAACAAGAACAATGAAATTCAAACAAAAAATGTGGACTAGTGGTCAAAGACTATATAATTTAATTTTAATTTAAGCTGGCTCAGTAACTCTATCGTCATAACAAATTCAAATGTCAGCAGCAATAATGCAAAGACAAAAAGTTGCAAATTATCAGAGCTGGCAGGAACTAATTCAGTGAGCAAGATTAAAAACATACCCTGTCTTGCACACCAAAAACCTCTGTTTAAAATCTGCCTAAGTGATTTGCATTCAGGAGAGGAAATAGAAACGGGAAATTATAGTAAAGGCTGAAATTATAAACAACTCGATAATTTACATAATAATACCTGTATATATAGTTGAAGAATAATTTTCTCTCTCTTTATGTACTTGGTTTCTTTCTTCAAAACGCTTCCTTTTCATTTTAGAATTTTTGGAATTAATTAAAGATTTCTGTTATTCTAAAAAACTAAATGCATTTAGAATGTATAGAAAAAGCTGCTAATTTTATTTCTTTAGTAATATGAACATTCAGGAGAAATATGAAATATGTATGGTAAGAGCCGGTTACAGAGCTGGTGTGGCAGAACTTAGTGACACACCGAGCAACAAAATGTACAAATGGAAAAACTTTTAGAATTTAGAGCAGGCACTGGAAGCAGAATTTATAAAGGCACTAGTCAGCAAAATTTAGGATCTACAGAGATAAGTATAATATTCCACGTGATTGCACCAGGTGGGAAAATGCCTAGCATCAGACCTGTGTATGATGCATTAAGACATACTAGATGAATCTTTTAAATTGCCAGTTTTCAATTTCTTTAATAATAAAAAAATTATTTTCTATAATACCTGTCCATGTGATAAGATTAGAAGCATTTTTAATATTTTCCATACTTGTGTCTAGTGAAAAGTAGAGAAAATAAAGGGAAGATAAGCCTGTTAAGAAAAAGATTCTAGTATCAGAAATAAAACATTCAAATATTATGTTTTCTTCCAGATATTCCCCAAAAAGTAAGAAATTCATTGCAAACTTTCTGTAAAATACATCCATTATGTGTTAATACCAGAGACATTTTTCATTTTGTCACATTTTTCTAAAATCTTATGGAATATTGGGTCTATAAATCTTGCCTTCAAATCCTTCTACACTTTCCAAGTTGCAATGTCTAATGTCCCGAAGAAAAAGTTACGCCTACCAATTTTGTTACAGCAAACAGTTAGAAATACTTTTAAAAAAATCAGATGGAAAAAGTGTGAAATTAATTTTACACAGAAAACTGATGCATATTCTGAGAATTCTGAAAACTATGAGACAATTACATGAGAAAACTCTTATCATGAAAAAATTAAAAAGAAGATATTTATTTATAATTATTATGTTATTTTTTAAATATAATTTCAATATATTACCATTATTTTAATGATATTTATCAATGTTAGAATGTTTAAAAAAAATCGTTGAAAAATTCCCAGATCATGGAATTTAAAATTTTCTATAGAAACTGATCTTCAAAATCACCAAAATGATAAGTCGTTCAATAAAAGAATTCACATCTCCAAAAGCGAAAAGTTGTTTAAGAGCTCTTCATTAGAAAAAGTGAAATAATTTCGAAATACATGTTTCAATTCTTGCTCAGAAAATCGAGTATCCCACCATTTATATTAGAAATAATAGAACAAATTCATAACCCATTCAAAAGATAAAACCATATTTGCCATCAGTGAATCGCTAAAAATATACCTCCAAACTGCTAATTCACACTCAAAATGGCAGTCGTAAAAACAGACAGAAATTTCACATGATTAAAATTAAGGACCTTCTGCCGATTTTTGCCAAAATTAAGTACTTTTAAAGACCAAATATTGATTCAAAAAAACTTAAGGACCGTACAAACCCTGGACATACAATTTTAAAATTAGTAGAATAGTAGTAAACATCCCATTGTATTTTTCCTCCCACCCCCCACCCCATACACACACACCCTCCCCAGATTTTTTCTAAGTGACCTTTCATGCATATGCATTTTAAATATCCAACACATGAACAATGCAACCGATACAAAATTTAATCAAATTTAGAACTTTTAAATAAATTTTTTCTTACCATTAGGGTGAAACATTTTTGATACAAATCGCACCGTTGGTGGCTTGTTTGGGTACTCTTCCGTAAATTCTAGAGTAAGTTTAAAGGTACCATCTTCAAAAGGAGTATCATGAGGGCTGTATATTAAAAAAAAAAGTGTTTAATAAAATTTATTTAAACACTGAACATAGCAGAATAAGCAGTCAAAAGAATAACATACAGTACATAGAAAACAGATAGTACAGGAATTTTTCCTTAAATACTTAGTTAAAAAGTCTGATGTGTACACCACATAAATTCCTTGTACGGAATATTAAATTATACGTATTTTTTCTTGCATTTCATTTAAACTTATTAGATTGAATTAAACCTACTTTGCCGACAGCGCATAAACCACAATAGAATAAATGCATTCTTTAAAATTCACTTTGTTTACCATAGCGACACTCTGGTGCTAGGTTTACTTAACAGTATTATATTTCGTTCATATTATAACTCAGAATGCACAAAATTTATATCATTTAAAGAATTATCTAATCGTTGCCACATGTTCTATTCAAATACTAAAACAAAGCTAGAACGATGTATAAAAGAAATTAAGCAAACTAAACAAAAAAGAAACAGTTTTTCACAGACGATTGAGTATTTCTCATTCAATTAATTCAGTTTTCACTTCGCAACAAGGCAAAAATACATACAAACTCAAAATATCTGTATTTAACGAGTCTTTTATTCTGTCCTTACGTACAGATATCACGCAAAAACATAGTTAAATTGCATTCGATAGCGGTCAAAATGGATATTTTCCCTTGAAATATGCTGCCTGAAACTTTTCGCGATTACAATACTTCCTTTTTACTTCGTACAAGGAAGTAAAATGCTTCTCAGTGTAAAAGTAGAAAATTTTCTTAAATAAATAAGGATTGGTTCTGTACATGTATAACATCTAACTCAGAATAAAGCCTCACACAGCAAAAATTCCAATTAATAAAACAGTCATTATTAACTGTTCATAATTAAAATACAAGGGATCTGCATTTAAATGTAAAAAATACATACAAACAAAAAAAATTAATTTACTTAGTTCGTTTTTCAGGGAAAAGAGAACTGCTTTGCTGAGAATGTACTGAAAAATGAAGCTACAGTTCTTAAAATATCCTATCCTACCTTCTATACTAAATAAAACAGCATGTCACTGAACTTGTTTCTAATTATATCAAAAAATATTGACATAACTCTGCGAATTTTATGTGTGAACATACAGAAGTTACTATATTTAATTTATTAAAGTATAATGCAAATCTTACTAACTGAAATGTTTGCTCTAAGGGGATTCATATAAAATGTTACATTTTATACTTTCAGACTGATTCCTGCATAAGGTTGTTTATGTGAAATTCCTTAACTTATTAAAAGAAACTCTATACGTGGAAGTACATATCTAGAATTAGTATTTAAGGAAGTAAAACTCAGTCATTTTGACCTTGCAACAATAAATTTTATTAAGAACATAAATATCTAACTTTGGGGAAAAAGCACATGTAACACCAAAAGATAGTAAAATAATGAATAACACAAAAATTTATCAATCAATATAAATTGTAAAGCTCTTTCATTTAAGAAGTTTTTACACCTATTCTTGATATGACAAAACGATGATACGGGCAACTTAATGACAAAATTCAAATTTTATCATTTGCTATTATGGTAATCTGAATCAGTTTTTCATAACAGTATCTTGTATGAAACTTGCATAGTTTCGAAACTTCTGATCAAAATTCACTCTCTATAATATATAAAATTAAAAAAAAAATAAAATAAAATAAATACCATTGAGTTAGCATAAAACCTGCGCTTACATGTGTAATGGCTTTGTGATTAAAAAAGCATCATTTGACTAAATGAAACGCAAAGCAAAATATCAATCCTACAACATACAAGTTGCAAACACCTTGTCCTTTCGCGACAATACTCCATCAACTTACATCTAGCAAACACCCGTGAGAAGAAGCAAAATGCACCCAGTGTGTCTTATTAATCATCAAAGAGTAACCACATACTACTACAATCCTGTAGCAAGATTGTTAATGCTATTTACAAATCAATCATTAATCTGGAAACTGAAGTCGTGCTACTGTTTGCGATATTGAGAAAAAAAAAGGGGGGGAATTTACATTTAAATATTTTACACTAAAATTCAAGTCTCAATTAACATATATATTTTCAACAAAATAATTACAATTACACATTATTTTACTGTATAAAACATGGCCACACGGAATTCTATCTTTTAACTTTCACTTAGGATTCCAAATATTATACAGTCGAAAGTCGTTAATTCGGACACCCATAATCCGGAATGATCTATAATCACGACCTAAAAACTTTCTGCGCATGCGCCGCGTTGACACATGCGCATAGGTGTTTACGCGTGCACGTAAGACCTTTACGACTCTGCATATGCGTGTGTGCAAGCGCAGAATACGTTTTCGCGTGCGCGTTTAATGTATAACGGACGATATAAGCTAAAATTATCTACTTCAGTTAATGTTGATGATTGCGTTGTTCCTTAATCTTCGAATTCGATGCGTCTTATTATTTTTTGCAGACTGTAAGAGCAATGTTGTAAAAGTAAACTTGAACTTTCGATTATGTCAAATAGAATTTCCGATGTTGGAGCTCCCAAAGGATCTACAAAACGAAAGTATGTTTCAATGTCCATCAAACAAAAAGTGGAATTGCTGCAAAAAATGGATAAAGACATGAAGAAGGTGACAGAGAGGTTAGTGAAAACGAAAAAATTTTGATTGACAAGTTAGTCGGTATTCTCGGCACAGCAATTACGGGATTTGAACAGCGGAACTTTGTAACTGAACAAGAAATTATGTCTGTTTATAGAATTAAAGAAAAAGTATTATCACATAAAACGAAGCAACTTAAACAACTTACATTGAAAGAAATGTTTAATAAAGTAAACAAATAAATATTAAGCTTGCTTTTTTTTTTTTTTTTTTTGTAAATTTTGATACACTTTAGATTATAATTGTTCTTTATTTTGTAAATTACGGTTTCATATTTTTTATTTTAGAATTTCTGCATGCCATCCTCGAGATTTAAACTGATGATCTATAATCCGGAAAAATCGATAATCCGGAATCGCCAAAGTCCCGACAAGTCCGGATTAACGACTTTTGACTGTATCAATATCTTACTTCTTAAAAAGAAAAGTTGGTGTTCCCATGCAAATATCATTTCAATGAGGAAAATAAAAATTTACTTCCTACTTTTATATATGAAGGTCCTTAATAAAAAGTATCAAAATTTCTCTAGTCTTTTTATAAAGGTATGTAATTCTATTCTTTTCAGTTATACAAAGTAAAAAAAGTTATTATACAGAATTTATTTTCCCTAAAATGGATTCTATTAAAGCTTTTTTTTTAATTATAGGGGGGGGGAATATCCAAACAAATTCACCATATACCTTAAGTATCTGTTACAGAATAATTTTTTTCCCCTTCAAATTATATAAATACCTTATTTTGCATAAAATTTTAAAATTATTAAGAAAGGAAAAACTGCTTAATCACTAATTATACTAAACGCTGGGCAAGTAACCGTTCAATGCTCACTGGTGCAGAGTTTGGATAATGAATCCGCACTACATAGAAGCAATGCTTTATTTCTAAATTATATCTCTGCAATGCTATGTCCCATCATTGCAATTTGGGAGATTGCTGAACATTTCTCACTATAAATGGTAGTACACTATGATCGGTCACAATCTTTATAGATGAACCGAATATCCATGGCTTCTACTTTTTCAATGCCAAAACTATAGCGTAAGCTTCAGGCTCTACAGGCAGCCGACACAGGTTAACTTTCAATACTGAATGCTATTTTTAGCCCAGATAAAAGTCTAAACACACATAGCCTTTTCTACATCTGCCATAATTATTTTGCGCATGCGTGAATTATCTGTTGCCAAAAAGCGGCAAACCTCGAAGCCGATGTTGAAGCTCAGCCGATACATACATGTGTCGGTATCGGTGCTACTCTGTATAAACGTGTCGGTATCAGTGCTTAAAACTATTTGTTTAAAAAAAATACCCTGCAAAATATGACTACAGGAAACAAGAGATTAAGCTATACAATTCAGTATAAACTAGGAGTGTTAAACTACGCCAAAGTGCATGGAAACAGAGCAGCAGCAAGGCATTTCGGTCCACCACCGAAATGCCTTGCTGCAGGAAGATCAACTGCTAAAAAACAAAAACATAACCTTGGATGCCCAGCTCCATCTTGGCCTGAACTTGAAAATGCCGTAAAAATGTGGGTGATAGATAAGAGGAAATCTGGGATAAGTGTTTCAACCAAAATGTTAATCAATGAGGCCAAAGGATTTGCAGAAAAACATGGGAATCAAAACTTTTCAGGGTCTGAGGGCTGGTGCTACAGGTTCATGAAAAGGCAAGTCTTATCAATGCACACAAAAACACTATTGCACAGAAAATGCCAGCAGATTATAAAGAAAAAATACTAGCATTTCATAGGTTTGTTATAAATGCACGCGAGAAAACTTCTTTTGAGCTCGGTCAAGTAGGAAATATGGATGGATGAAATTCCACTCACATTTGATGTACCATCCAACAAGACTGTGAGTATTAAAGGGTCTAAATCAATAACATGAAAACCACAGGTCATGAAAAAACCTAATATACGGTAGTTCTAACATGTTGTGCTGATGGCACAAAACTACCGCCGTTTTTCATATTCAAAAGAAAAACTTCCAACGTCTGTAATTGTTCATGTCCATCAGAAAGGCTGGATGGACGAAGCTGGAATGAAACTGTGGTTACAGAACATATGGGCAAGGCGACCTGGTGGACTCAAGAATACCCTCTCTTTTGGTTTTGAATCAATTTAGCGCCCATAGAACTTGAAACCATAAAGAATAAAGCAAGAGAATTAAAAACCCAGATAGCTGTCATTCCTGGTGGACTGACTAGCCAATTGTAGCCTTTAGATATATTGGTGAATAAGCCTATTTAAGGTAAAAAGTGCAAGAACAACGATGGATGTAACAAGGAGATCCACATCATGACCTCACACTCTCAGATAGAATGAAAGCGGCCCTCTA